TTCGAGTTTGTAAAAAGCAGTTTTCGAGTCTGCAAAAACCAGTTTTCGAGTATGCAAAAACCACTTTTCAAGTCTGCAAAAACCACTTTTCGAGTCTGCATAAACCACTTTTCGAGTCTGCAAAAACCACTTTTCGAGTCTGCAAAAACCACTTTTAGAGTCTGCAAAAACCACTTTTCAAGTCTGCAAAAACCACTTTTCGAGTCTGCAAAAACCACTTTTCAAGTCTGCAAAAACCACTTTTCGAGCCTGCATAAACCACTTTTCGAGTCTGCAAAAACCACTTTTCGAGTCTGCAAAAACCAGTTTTCGAGTCTGCAAAAAGCAGTTTTCGAGTCTGCAAAAACCAGTTTTCGAGTCTGCAAAAAGCAGTTTTCGAGTCTGCAAAAACCAGTTTTCGAGTCTGCAAAAACCAGTTTTCGAAGAGTTGAAAACTAAACCCTGAGTTGAATTCAACTAAACCCTGAGTTTAATTAAAAAATCTCTACAGACCCTTCCTATTAGTGTTGTCGGCATGTCGCAATGCCCCACCCGACGCCACTTAGTTGTTTTCGACAAATTTCGTCGCCATGCCATAACTAGGTCCTTTATCGGCCGATTTCCATCAAATTGCGATAGACTCTTCCTATTGCTGTTGTCGACATGTCGCAATGCCCCACCCGCCGCCACTTAGTTGTTTTCCACAAATTTCGTCGCTATGCCATAACTAGGTCATTTATCGGCCGATTTCCATCAAATTGCGACAGACCCTTCTTATTGGTGTTGTCGACATGTCCCAATGCCCCACCCGCCGCCACTTAGTTGTTTTCGACAAATTTTGTCGCCATGCCATAACTAGGTCATTTATCGGTCGATTTCCATCAAATTGCGACAGACCCTTCTTATTGGTGTTGTCGACATGTCGCAATGCCCCACCCGTCGCCACGTAGTTGTTTTCGACAAATTTCGTCGCTATGCCATAACTAGGTCATTTATCGGCCGATTTCCATCAAATTGCGACAGACCCTTCTTATTGGTGTTGTCGACATGTCGCAATGCCCCACCCGTCGCCACGTAGTTATTTTCCACAGATTTTGTCGCCATGCCTTAACTAGGTCATTTATCGGCCGATTTCCATCAAATTGAGACAGACCCTTCTTATTGGTGTTGTCAACATGTCGCAATGCCCCACCCGCCGCCACTTATTTGTTTTCGACAAATTTCGTCGCCATGCCATAACTAGGTCCTTTATCGGCCGATTTCCATCAAATTGCGATAGACTCTTCCTATTGCTGTTGTCGACATGTCGCAATGCCCCACCCGCCGCCACTTAGTTGTTTTCCACAAATTTCGTCGCTATGCCATAACTAGGTCATTTATCGGCCGATTTCCATCAAATTGCGACAGACCCTTCTTATTGGTGTTGTCGACATGTCCCAATGCCCCACCCGCCGCCACTTAGTTGTTTTCGACAAATTTTGTCGCCATGCCATAACTAGGTCATTTATCGGTCGATTTCCATCAAATTGCGACAGACCCTTCTTATTGGTGTTGTCGACATGTCGCAATGCCCCACCCGTCGCCACGTAGTTGTTTTCGACAAATTTCGTCGCTATGCCATAACTAGGTCATTTATCGGCCGATTTCCATCAAATTGCGACAGACCCTTCTTATTGGTGTTGTCGACATGTCGCAATGCCCCACCCGTCGCCACGTAGTTATTTTCCACAGATTTTGTCGCCATGCCTTAACTAGGTCATTTATCGGCCGATTTCCATCAAATTGAGACAGACCCTTCTTATTGGTGTTGTCAACATGTCGCAATGCCCCACCCGCCGCCACTTATTTGTTTTCGACAAATTTCGTCGCCATGCCATAACTAGGTCATTTATCGGCCGATTTCCATAAAATTGCGACAGACCCTTCTTATTGCTGTTGTCGACATGTCGCAATGCCCCACCCGCCGCCACTTAGTTGTTTTCGACAAATTTCGTCGCAATACCATAACTAGGTCATTTATCGGCCGATTTCCATCAAATTGCGACAGACCCTTCTTGATTGGTGTTGTCGACATGTCGCAATGCCCCACCCGCCGCCACTTAGTTGTTTTCGATAAATTTCGTCGCCATGTTTCGTCGCCATGAAAACAAGTTCGACAAATATGTCGAACATATTTGTCATGAAGAAATATTGAGAATTTGATGGTCATCATAATTTGTTAACAACTTTGGGAACATGGTCCCTGGACAAGAACTGCCTTTTAAGGATGCATAATTTTATAAATACAACACATGCCTTGTGTATCTGTTGAGGATTGCTAGTTATACGGCGCATGGATGATACAGAGAGCGGAAAACCCTGGTTTCATAATGCACCTTTATGGCAACTTTAGAACGAAATCGAATTTCGACATGCGGTTTTCGCCAATGTGTTTCTAATTTTTTAAGTACAGAAGAGTTTGAAGATGGGCGTTGTTGATTATAAGGTCATAAGCTCAAACTAATCGTACGTCGTAATGAGGCAAATTGAGATTTTTATAAAAATTGAATCTTAATTTAACTGTGTTTAATATATGGATTAATAATATATATTTAATAATATATATTGATAATAATAATGAATTATAATTATTAATTATTATTAATTTATGTTATTAATATAGTATATATATATTTAATATATGTCGTCTACACGGTCATGGGGTCGTCGCATGACGAAATGATGGCGATTTCTGAAATCCCCGCCCAAAACTACGTCTACAACTGTGGAAACAAAAAATGTGACGCCTTGATTTGAGCTTTTACGGTCTATCCACACACTTTGGACGGCGTCATCAGTTTGTCCTTTGGCCCGAGTAGATTTTAAAGTGCATTCTTCGCATGCAATGGACTTGGAGGACTTCAGGTAAAACCAGGTAGCCACACAAATTGTAAACAACGCTGCTTTCATGTGTAACGATCTTCGCTAAGGTTGACTGAGGTATCACTTGACTAGATGATACTTTTTTAAGGATCTGCGATTCCATCCACTTGACTTATCCAACTCAAACACAGCTAAATAGTTCTTTCTCCTCCTCAGAATTTATTCCCAATTACAATTATAAAACTCAGGTTTTGCAATATTACTAATTAGATCAGTTAAGGAAAATTTAGTTTCACGGGGTTTCTTAATGACACTTTATGATCTATTAAAAGGTAATTTTCTTTTTGAATGTTTTTATCATAATTTATAGACAGCAGGTTGTTAGAAAACTTTGTTTGAACGACGTCGGTGGTTAACTTCCACCGTTTTCTCTCTTCGTAGTTAAGCCCGACGTTGTTCTGAGTCATGTAATTATACTTAACAATAAATTGCTCTTCAAAATGCAGATAACAAACCAAATGTTTTGATTGTAGAAAGTTAACTTCTCGTTTCGGCAGATTTTTTATCTACAATTCCTTAAGTGGTGTTTATGCTTCACGTCATCGTCACGTCCTCCTTCAAATCCGATTTTTTGATTGGCTGAACGAAATTATCACTACAATTAAAAATTTTAACCAATCAAAAAATCGGATTTGGAGGAGGACGTGACGGTGACGTGAAGCATAAACGCACCTTTAATGTCGCTTGCTGAAATTGGATTGAAGTTTGAAGAGATCAGTTATCGAGCTATTATAACCGGAATTACAACCGCCAACAAAACATGAAGGTATCTTCAATTCAATCTAATTAAAAATAATGACAAGTTTACTATTAAAAAATTAAATGTGATTGAATGTTAACAAATCCGCTGAGAAACAATCCCAGCGTTTTGCGAACCGGTAGCGCCTCTGGTGGAATTTTGGGGTACCGTGAGAATTTTGTGGTAATTTGAAAATTTTTAAGGTACCTTGAAAATTTTGGGGTAATTTGAGAATTTTGGGGTACCGTGAAAATTTTGGGATAATTTGAGAATTTTGGGGTAATTTGAAAATTTTGAGGCACTTTGAGAATTTTGATCGGCTGCACGGCTAGGGGGTATGGTGGACGGCTAAGGGTTGCCGACGGGACGGCTGGACGGCTAAGTGATGCGATGGACGGCTGGACGGTTAGGGGTGGTCGGTTGGACGGCTAGGTGATACCTCATCCTTTTAATAGAGTCAAAGGAGGAGGCACCCTCCTTACGTGAAATGCCCCACCGTGATATTCGGCTCAATTTTTGATATGTTGTACATTTCGACGTGCCAAACAAAAAATGTATTGGTCCCTAAGCCTTAAGTGACCTGGTTCGACCGGAAATAGAGGTCAAAGGTCAGTGCACTTTTTCGCTCGAAACCCCATAAACCGTATATTTTTAGAAAGCTACGGACCTCCCCAGTCCGAATATACACCATACTTGGGTCAAAGGTCAAGCCTTGATCTGTCGAGGTCAACCCTTGGCCTGTCGAGGTCAAATATGTTATTGAGGCAAGGTAAGATTTTTGGGGAAAATAAGTGGCCAAAGTACATTTCTGATAGGATGACTGAACCCTTGCTGGAAAAGGGCATTATTACATAGTTGGTTAACACTAACATTTGTGTTTATTGATCTTGATTATGTAGTGTTAACCAACTATGTAATAATGCCCTTTTCCAGCAAGGGTGCAGTCATCCCATCAGAAATGTACTTTGGCCACTTATTTTCCCCAAAAATCTTACCTTGCCTCAATAACATATTTGACCTCAACAGGCCAAGGGTTGACCTCGACAGATCAAGGCTTGACCTTTGACCCAAGTATGGTGTATATTCGGACTGGGGAGGTCCGTAGCTTTCTAAAAATATACGGTTTATGGGGTTTCGAGCGAAAAAGTGCACTGACCTTTGACCTCTATTTCCGGTCGAACCAGGTCACTTAAGGCTTAGGGACCAATACATTTTTTGTTCGGCAGGTCGAAATGTACAACATATCAAAAATTGAGCCGAATATCACGGTGGGGCATTTCACGTAAGGAGGCTGCCTCCTCCTTCTCATGTCATCATCATCTCGTCGGAACGTCGCATTTTCCCCGTTCCACCAGGCAGCGAAATCTACTTTCGGAAAGTTCCAGTCCAATGTTTTTGCGTCATTTTATTCTGTTCTCAAATTTGTGGGTCCTGCGTTCTTGGTGACCAAGAGACAACGTTTCAAATCTCTCCAAACAATTACAGGGAAGAGCACAGTAACATTTAATTGAATTCAACACACGTCACAAAATTCAAAACTACTAAATCATTGGCTAAGCAGTGAGCAAGTTAGTAAATAATAATAGATACGTAACTCCTCAAGTACATTTCGTCACACATAATAAAATTGTTGTGAATTAATATTGTAGCAAAGATGATCTTGTCACGTTTGGCCGTGATGCCGTTGAAGGCTCCAATGCTGACCCTCCGACTTTCGGAACAGTCGTTTAAAGGACCCACCGTGTTCCGTGCTTTCAAAACGGATGCCAAACTTTTCAATGAAAATAACCGACATTTTGTTCGAAGAGCGAGAGAAAGGATTGGTCTCAAGGACAGAGCCATGGGCCCCACTTCCGGTGCTCCCTTTCAGATTGGTATATATATATGGATTTATGCATTATATGGATTATTTACTACAGATGGATGTGGAGAATATAATTAGTTTAATTTCGACTTTGCTTAATCTGGACCCAGGACAAGGAGTCATCGCCGGAGCGTCCGTGTTTGGGATTGGAGCGCTGTGCTATTATGGGTTGGGGATGTCGAGCGAGTCGGTGGGAACGTCGATTTCGGACAGAGCCATCATGTGGCCCAATTATGTGAGGGAACGAATTCGCGACACGTACATGTACTTTGGCGGTTCACTCGCTTTCACTGCAGCTACAGCCATGTCCGCCTTTCGCTCACCAGCCGTTATGAATTTGATGATGAGAAATTCCTGGGTGGGTGTTCCATTCTCGTAGTCCAAAGTATGACTAGTCGTGATGATCATGATGATGGACGCGTCTTAATTGTTATATTATCTGCAGGTCGTCATCGGGGGTACTCTTGTTGCAATGATTGGAACGGGCATGGTTGTTCGGTTCGTGGCTCAGTTTTATGAATAGTTGTAGCAAGTAATTGATATTTTATTATTGACTAAATTTCCACTGTGTCCAATTAGCGGGATGCCGTATAAGGAAGGATTTGGTGCAAAGCAAGTGGGATGGATGGTTCATTCTGGCGTGATGGGAGTTGTTCTCGCCCCAATGCTGCTCCTGGGTGGACCTCTCCTTTTGCGTGCGGCAATAATGACTTCTGGGATTGTTAGCTCAGATCTTCTTTACTTTTGATAAGCGGAGAACGAAGGACAAATGCTAATAATATTTTTCCAACGATTCCCAAACAGGTTGGAGGGCTGTCTGCAATTGCGATATCGGCTCCGAGTGAAAAGTTTCTCAACATGGGCGGACCCTTGGGAATTGGTCTTGGCGTTGTTTTCGCCTCATCTCTAGGTGTGCATTTTTACAATACCATGGATGATTATCAATATTTCATGAATGGCTGGTTAATCTTAAATTGTATTTCTGGTTTATAGGCTCCATGTTTGTCCCGATGACATCTGCCCTTGGCGCGGGCCTGTATTCGATCGCTCTTTACGGTGGACTTGTCCTGTTCTCTGGATTTTTGCTATATGACACTCAAAAGGTTATTAGGAGAGCGGAAGCTGTGCCACCAAATTCAGTCGTCCCATTTGACCCAATCAACGCGTAAGCAAGACAAATAACTACACAATGTCTGGTTTATAAAATAAATTACTCATTACAAAACTGTTTCCACAGATCAATGTCCATTTACCTCGACACTGTCAACATTTTTGTCAGAATTGCACAAATGTACGCCATGGGAGGTGGAGGCAGAAAAAAATAAACTCGTCGATTTAGTCAACCTTCTCGAACCCTTAAATATTTATTATTACTACTATTCACCACCGTCGCCATCGTCAGCAATGTTTAGCGATTGAAAATTCAATTGGATATTTGAAAAGTTATTTCTTTTATGTGATAAATGCACAATGTCAAAGTCATAAATATAACCAGCACCTCTTTGATGAGTTGTGACAACCGCTAATTAAATGACCCTCTTGTACAAATCGTATACTTGTCTTGGTTCTCCTTCAAAATGAAATGAAACAAGATTCAGTAAAACTGCATTACTCGGCTCATAGTCATGTTTTCCTCCATTTAGCAGATACATCATTACATGAGATCAGTAGGAAAACTTTCGAATATTTAATGCTACCCAGGAAAGAAAATGGCGTCCATTGCAATGCATCTTGTTTCGAACCGTTGTCCCATCCGCGGAGAGGACCAGGTAAGAGGACTTGTGTAAATATATTCATGTTCGACTTGAGTAGGGATTTGCACCGTAATGCGAACTGAACCAGCAACGCAACACAATCTACACATTACAACTAAAAATACATACATAACATGTAAGTATGTAGTAACAGAATTTATATTTAGTAAATTTTGCATGTTTATTAGGAATCTGAACAATTGGCACGGTGTACGAGCTGAGGCTTTTGGAATCGTCACATCTGTCTGTCTGTCTCTCAATTCATTTTTCAGACCATTATATTACGAATATCTTATCTCATGTAAATACCCACTTGACACTTTGCATGTACGTTATTAAACAGTCGTTAACGCTTTAACTTTTCATGAAATTTTGTAAATACATATAGGGTCAAAGTTAATAAATTCTAAGGTATGCTATCGATATAATTTTAATAAATAGCAAATTCAGTACCAATATGACAGCAGTATGAAAGTGTAAATGAATGCAAAACGAAATGCAAAAAATGAGTAAAAAAAGTGTGACTCTGATGGGACTCGAACCCACAATCTTCGGATTCGAAGTCCGACGCCATATCCAATTGGGCCACAGAGCCGTATTGTAAGGTTGTGGTTTATAGCGTGTTACAATGGTATGCATGGTACAATGTTACATGTTATCAACTTTCGGTCAACGCATGAATTTCTGATTATTTCTGTAATGCATAAAAGTGCGTTAAACGGCATAATATGCATAAAAATGGGCCGAATTACACTGATGAATACCAAGAATTTCATTAGGCCACAGAGCCGTTGAAAGGAGATCAAAATAATCCATCTGGGCCTGGCTGATCAACTCTCACCATTTTATTGACACTGCTAACTTTCTCTCGTCTGATTGATGTGATTGGTCGCAATCTTTTGCATTTCGGATCAGGTCAAGGCAAATCTGAATGGATATGCAAATTTTGTACAAAAGTACAACTTGTCGGATATTTTTCGTATTAAATATTCAGGGACACAATACTTTGCATAATAATATCCAAACCTAGCACAGAAAAATTGTGATTTAAAAATTGTGATTTAAGTTTAAAATAAAGGGTCATCTAACATATACTTATCGTTCAACTTATATATTCCTATCGAAAAAATATTTTTTTAAGAACGGTATACAATTTACTTATTCCAGATTTCATCGTGAATATCACAATCATGCAGAACCATACTAAATACTATGTACTTCAACAATGTTTTTATTCGTTCTTTTGTGCATTCTCAGATTTTGTATCTTAGACAGAGCTTATTAAAATGAGCAGGAATGAATGATTTGTCACGTAAATTACATGATGTAATGATCATCGCTATTGTGTTTAAATGCATGGGTTGAAACATGCCATTGGTTTTAAAGTGTCCAACCTTTGAACCTGATCTTCGCGGAGGATTTTTAGTCATTAAATAATGCATGTGTAAAATATTATAACAGCAAATTTCCTGATGTAATTACAGATGCTATAAAAATTAAAATTAATAAGTGGGAAAAAAACAAAGTTACTAAAGTTAGTATAAGATATTGCTATGTTTGCACTTCAACTATTACGACCCATTGTGTTACCGTCTGTGGTAAAGCAGACGTCAACCGTAAGTACCGATTCCAAACAAAATATATGTATCTCAGAATTTCATAAAAATATTTTAACATTGAGCCACAACCAGGGCTTATGTAATTGTCATGTCCGTCTGTCTGTCTGTTTTTCGATCGAACTCTCGAATAGGTTCACCGATTGACCTGAAATTTTCATATGCATATTGGACAAAGTTAGGAAACGAGTTCGGAGATGGACGACATCGGGCCAAAGGGTGAGGACGGAGGGGGGCGAGGTCATCGGAGTGGGTGTGGTATTATACACCTCAATTTCAAAATTATAGTGGAAAGCTGAAAAATTTTCGTCTGAAAGGACCCGAGGGGGTTTGCTGAATTTTTGCATAGCGATTGCTTGTGGCTCTTAATGGAAGAGTATGCAAAAATTAGTGCAAAATAGTAGGTCATAATCTTATATAGAAAACCTACTCCAAGCAACTTTGGGGGGCCTTTTAAGATGGCATTAATGCCATCTTGGTAGTTAATGACAACACATTTGGGTAGAAAAGACCCCCACCGGCCAACCACTTGACCGATCATGCCCATCTTCGAACTCATCCTTACTTTTGACCCGAAGTTCAAGTGTACTAAATTTCAAGTCGATAGAATGTGTTTAAAGAGAGTTATCGTGCGTACAGACAGACGGACGGACAGACAGACATCCTGACAAATCTATAAGGCCATCTTAAAAGGCCTAAAACTGAGCTGACAAACATACATTTACAAATCAATCCTGGTTCGGGCTAAGCAAAGCTGTAACAGGTTTTACCTTATCGAATGCAATCATTTTGTATTTTGCAGATTATATTCCTTCATGGCTTGGGCGATACGGGGTTCGTGCTATTCTTATCAAGGGAACAATTAAATGGGTCCATATTAACCCATTTAATTAGGTTGACAGTTGACATTATACAAATTATTCGTTTATTATGTCACAGGCAGAGCTGGGCAGATATTTTACCCATGGTCAGGCCTTCCCACACTAAAATCATTTGTCCGAATGCGTAAGAAATTTGCAAAGTTCAAAAAGTAATTCATTCATATTGTACTCGCATACGTATGTGCAGACCAGTTCAGGCTGTAACGTTGAATCAAGGGGTAGTAATGCCAGCATGGTTTGACCTTCGACCATTGGACCAACCAAAGGATGAGTTTGGAATCAAATGTGCAGCTGAAGCTATCCAAGAAGTAATCGCTGTCGAGATTGCGAGTGGAATTCCGGCGGACAAAATAGTGCTCGGAGGCTTCAGTCAAGGAGGTTCGTTGCCTGAAGATAGAAGATATATAATAACCTATCAGTACAGCTTTGCTTAGCCCGAACCAGGATTAGTAAACCCATGTTTCTCAGTATATATAACTTCATATTATTTCATGAGAAAGCAGTAAGGATCTCTGGTCCAAATTTCAGCTTTCTACGTTAATTTCTAAAAATCGGTATGGGTCACCCCATAGGGTCGCTCTAGATAAAAATTATACCAATTTCATGTCATATTCTTCCATTAGGACCCATAAGCAACCTCTCCACCAAATTTCAGCTCGATATGACAATTTTGAAAAATCAGTATGGGTCACCCCCTAGGGTCCCTCAAAATGAAAATTTTTCCATCTTGAACTCATTTTCATCTATTAGGAGCCATTAGCAACCTCTGTGCCAAATTTCAGCTTTCTACGACAATTTTGAAATTTTGGTGCGTAATACCCCACCCACTCCGATGACCCCCACCGGTCCAAAACTTTTCTGATCGAACCCATCTTCGAACTCGGTCGTTGCATTGCCCAGATACATGTCTGTACAAAATTTGGTCCAAATCCGTCAACTCGTTCGAGAGTTATCGAAAGACAGACGGACGGACATGACGATTACATAAGCCCTGGTTCGGGCTAAAAAGGAAATATGTAATGATTTATTAATTTTCAGGCGCTGTCGCCCTGTACACCGGCTTGACGCTCCCATTCCGACTCGCAGGAATCCTCGCCTTATCGACATGGCTCCCTCTGGACAAATCCATCCCTTTGGAAAAGGCTCAAACTCCACCCATCCTGATTTGTCATGGGGACGAGGATAACATGATTGCTCTCCCACGCGCCGAAAAAACTGCACAAGTCCTGAGTACGGTCAATAAAAACGTAGAGTTCAAAGTGTATCCTGGTCTGGGTCACACGGTCGCATGTGAGGAGGAACTGCAAGATATTTCCAAATGGCTGGAGAAAGTCTCCAGCTCTAATAACCAGTCAGACTCAAATGGTCTCAAGAGCAAGTTGTGAATGACCAAACCGCAGGCCTATTTTAGCATTAGTTGTTAGTGTGAAATCAAATTCATGACCAAGTCATGTAACATGCGTTATGTAGCTTTTTCTTAATTAATAAAGGTTAAATATTTACTTTAATTGCTTTTTAATATGCACCAAATTGTGTGATTGTGATTGGACGAGAATAAAGAAGACGTGAACAAAAAAAAATGGGGCTTTAAAATATTTTTCATAGACACCAGTTTGCATCCGGCATGGTTTGCATGCTAGCGTGTGTATAAATTGGTAGATTGGTCGTCTTTAGCATGGATTAAAGGAGACCTCCCACTGGAGTGTCCCCCAACGTCCTGTCCAAATTGACCCCAGCTAGACCACCACCCCCTGAAATAATTGAGTTGATTATAGATAGTTTTGTTTTTTATGATATTCCTCGTTGCCAATATTCCTACCCTTCTTGTCACCACCAGCGGCACTGCCAGGTGCGTCTTTCTTGTCCTTGTCCCCTCCAATTAGTCCCCCTGCCACCGGAAGTCCTGGAGCAGCGAATCCAGCACATATCTTTTTCAAGAAAAAACAATGTTCAATTAACGACTCGCTCGAAGATCCTGGATTTAAAAACATCTGATCCTTCTTACCAATGTGGCAATGATAAAAATAGCCAGAACCAGATTGAAGCTCTTCATGATGATTAAATATAATATTTACTATACGAGAGACTATGGACAAGAATGCGAAAATGTAGCGTATTATACAACAAACAAGTTGAGAATGAAATGGCTGCCAAAAATATTTTCGTTTCAGAATTTTTCGAGGATGTGGAATTAAGGAAGTTTGACTGCATTAATTGATTTTCCCAATAAAATGATACGTGTGGAATAAAGAAAAAACAATTCGGAACCGATCAAACGTACGTACGTACATTGATAATTCGGCGTTATGATGGCTATCCATGTTAAGTAACCTCTAAGCCTCTCGCTAATGCGACAGAATATGCAAATGAAATGACATGCTAGTATAATTTGAGAGTATGTGATTTGTCATTCCACGGACGTGAGAATAAAACAATTGTGCCCTCGGATATATTGCGTCATATTTCAAATTGGCATTGTTATCGATTAGGAATTTCTTCAAGGTTTATGGCTTTTTGTATGTACGCTTTATGCTAAAGTTTTGGCCAGTTATGAGAGGCATTAATATTTAGCGATAAATTGCACTACCCTCAGATGAGCTATACATAATTCTATACTTTAAACCATGAATATAGAGAACATAAATTTTACTACGTGTACTGGAAATTGTGAAGCTATTTACAGTTTTGGAATTATCAAAAGTACATGAGAAAATTTCTGAATGTATTTATTCTGCATTTTCAAAAGTGCAATTTATTATGGAATTTACAGATCTATCCAGTAACGCTGCCAAGGCCCAGTTCGCCCACTGTACTTGCGACGGAAATGCCGGTGCCCAGAAGGCCACCCCCCTCACCGCCTCCACCGACGCCCGTTCCTGCAATCCCTTTGCTGCCCCCACCACCAGCACCAGCACCACCACCGCCACCTCCGACGCCTCCTACGGCGTCCGTCAGTCCTGGGGATGGCAGGGCGGAAGATGGCCTCGTCATAATCTGGTCAAACAATTCAGTCAAATGTAAATTTCTGGGAATTTCTGGGACGTAATGAAATAAATGATTTGTACTGATTTCTCACCACCATTATTGCTATCACGTAAACGCATGCAACGAAAAATGGTCGCGTCATTCTTGCTTGCCCAATCTGATGGATCAGCGATTTATGATGTGATATTATACGGGGAAGGTGAATGGCAAAATTGGAGATTGAGATTATATGCCCAAGTACATTTATGGACAATGCCCTAATTAACCTCCACTTCTTAAATGCCTAACAATTGTTCCGGAATGCTCGTAACACTCGTAAAAATGATGATGCACAGCGGTTTTCATTTAAATTTTATACTTTTCTGATGACGACAAACATTCCATGGACGTAATGTGATTATTACTGTGCATAATAAATGTGCAGGGCGCAATATGTACGAATGTAGTTAGATTGTCATTTCATTGATGCTTTATCTTGATGGCCAATGGACTAGTAACTAGTTTATGAGCTGAGTAAAACTTTCAACAAGTTTCATAATGCAAAATCATGGATTGCACATACATATGTACGAGAATAGACATTTTATTGACATTCTAATCAGCATAAGTACGTAAGTTATGTAATTAGTTAAAATCGTTAAAAATTGAAAACAACAATTTCCATTGAGGAATATAAATCTCTTGAGAACATAAGTACATTTTGTCCACATCGTCATATCTGCAGCTTCTTAGAATCAGATGGCATCCCCCACGAGACCGTCTCCCACCACGCCCTTGGTCGACACACCAGTACCAGCAACGCCACCTTCCTTCTTATCGCCCCCAGCAATGCTTCCAACCTTCACCCCTGTTCCTGCAACTCCACCATCTTTTTCGCCACCACCACCAGCAATGCTCCCGACTTTTACCCCTGTCCCAGCCACGCCTTTCCCGTTCCCCCCAGTCACCTTCCCGACCTTGACTCCAGTCCCCGCAACGCCTTTATTCGTACCATCGCCACCATCATCTCCACCACCAGCCACGTTTGCTACGTTCACCCCAGTCCCAGCCACGCCTTCCTTCCCATCACCATTAAGAACGCCCGGATGTGGTAGAGCGGAGGATGGATGGATCCTCATAAAAATCTGCCATTCAAATTATCAGTGCCATTAACCTTTTAAGCATTTACATTTTATAGTCGAAAATGGGGAATGAACTTTGACCATGAATGTCATGGAGAAAAATTTTACACCAAGTTTCCTAAACCATGGTGTTCATGTCATATTTTTTACACATCGAAAGACCAAAACCATGTTAGTCATGGTCGCAAAAATTTGCATTGCAGGACCAATACCATCAAAGTCATGGCGATTGTTTTTGCAAGAAAATACTTTGACCATGACATACATGGAAGTCGAAAATAATAATTTCCACAGCTTTTTAGCCCGAGTCAGGGCTTATGGAACCGTCATGTCCGTCCGTCCGTCCGTCCGTAAACAGGATAACTCTCTTTAAACACAAGCTACCGACTTGAAATTTTTACCATGTGCATATTGGACAAAGTTAGGAATCGAGTTTGAAGATGGGCGAAATCGGTTAACTGGTTACCCGGTGGGGGTCATCTGAGTGGGTGGGGTCTTATGCACCAAAATTTCAAAATTGTCGTAGAAAGCTGAAATTTGGCACAGAGGTTGCTAATGGCTCCTAATAGATAAAACCTACAGTGCAGACTCCATATAGCCCGAGTCAGGGACATAGTCCCTGACTCAATAAGTCAGAGCCCGCTTCTAAATTTTTTTCCGAATTGACCAACATAATATCACCAACTTCCGTGTTGTGGATGGTTAAAAGTTTGTTAGATAGTTTCTATTATTTGGTCCCAAATTTTTGAGCAAGTTACAGATCATGTGTCTTGACCACCATGACCAGTGGGCTTCTTTAACATCCTGAAGCTCTAAGCTGTATGTATGTGCTATCCAGCAGTGGTTTTCAGCCTCCATATCAAATTTCAGCTCGATATAATGATTTTGAAAAATCAGTATGGGTCACCCCATAGGGTCACTCTGGTTGCACTTTACTCACTTTTAACTTCATATTCTTTAATTAGAAGCCATTAAGTACCATTGTGCCGGATTTCATCTTTTTAAAGTAATTTCTAAAAATCAGTATGGGTCACCCCATAGGGTCCCTCAAGATTAAAATTTTTCCAACCTGAAGTTATTTTTTTCTATTAGGAGCCATTAGCAACCTCTGTATCAAATTTCAGCTCTCTACAACAATTTTGAAATTTTGGTGCAAAATACCCTACCCACTTATATGACCCCCACCGGTTCAAAACTTTTCTGATCGAACCCATCTTCTAACTCGGTCGTTGCATTGCCCAGATACATGTCTGCACCAAATTTGGTCAAAATTGGTTAACTCGTTCGACAGTTCGACTGACATGACAATTACATAAGTCCTGGTTCGGGCTAAAAATCACGACTCGAGAAAAAGTCAGTCTTTGGATGTAATCCGAATATTTTAACGTTGCGATGTGATTAAAAGTCGACAATAATTACTTAATAAATTTCGTAAAAAATTGATATATGTAACTAAGGACGGATCTTTTTAATTGTTGTGTTTTCGTCCGGCACTTCGTGTAAAATTGTTCGCCATGACATACATGGTCAAAATGCTTAAAAGGTTAATATTATTCAAAAATTAATTTAAAAAAATATTACTTTCTCCCACTCACCGTTGTTGTTGCAACTAAGAAAATAAGTACCAGAGGAAAGCGACTCATAATTCAGAAGATTATTAGTATTCTACAAAAGCCGAGGAGGAGGTGACAACGGTGATGACGAGCAGACTGATAAATTGGAGTAGAGAATTTTGGACAGACGTTTGAAATTTAGACAATCGTTGACCAGCTTTATACCGCGTATTAAAGAAAAGTATGCCGTCAAACTATGCTCGCAGAATGAAAAATGAGGCTGCAACAATACCCAAATAATTTATGGGGTCGAGTCATATTATTGTTCTCGCAAATTTTCATAAAAGAGTTTAACGCCCTATTCAAATTATATCAACGTCATTCATTTTGACCCTCAAATAAATACGTAAATACGCAAGTACTGGTATTATGAAGAGTACATATCAATACCATTTATACGTATAATAACTCCAATTGTATTTGAAATTTTGTCCGTAATAATGAGACATTCCTTTAAGTATTTGACATATACATACTTATTATAATACACATGTAATAAATAAGATAAGTGCATGTTTAACACTAGTTACACTTTGTATGCAGATTTCTATTAAATAGTAACAACATATTTAAATAAACTAAGATGAAATTCAGGTTATTTTTTTTGTTTGGTGTGAATTTGATGCGCCATTTGTGAACGACGATTTTTTAAAACTTAATACTGAAGACTAATACCACATTCAAATGCTGAAAAATTTCTTGCGATCCTGACCTTCCTACATTGCATACATTTTGAGGTGGGGGTAAATAATCTTGAAGACCTTATCGAGATCCTTCAAAGTGGTAACTCCTGTAAATAAAGATATTTAATAATTGTAGTGCCAACTGAAAAAGATCTCAAATCACTCCCTCCAAAATAAATGTAGGTAAATATGATAATTAATTACCTTGTATCATCCCGCTCCCAGTCCGGAACACCATCACATTAGCTTTCGGAAATGGCAAAGCCATCGAAACTCCGGTAAACGAGTCAGGTTCATACCTGTCAGCGAATCAAATGATAAACGTACTTATTAATTAAGTAGATGGATTATTACTGTGGATGAAGTTCTAACCCTGCAGACTTATTACACCGCTTTGTAGCATTAATTTCACGACGTCACCGGTCAAAAAAATTTTTTCCTCCAAACTGGTCCAAAATAAAAGTCTAGCATGGGAATAGTATAGAAAAATTATTTTTAGCGTTCTATGACCCCTGGGTCATGAATTAAGGGGCCCTGAAGGGTCAAATAGCGTTCCCTGATAACCCCATGCAAATGGGGTATCAAATTAATCCCCTGGACCAGGGGAACCAGAAAAATATTTTTATAAATTTTTATGACCCTTGAGTCGTGAACTAGGAGCCCTTGAAGGGTTAAATATCATTCCCTCACAACTAAAGGCAAGTGGGGTATCAAATTAATCCCCTGGACAAGGGGAACCCAAAAAATATTTTTCTGGATTTTTTTGACCCTCAGGTCAAGAGTTAAGGGCCCCCGAAGGGTCAAAATAGTAACCATGGTGACCCCATGCAAGTGGGGTATCAAATTAATCCCCTGGCAAAGGGCAAGCATAAAAATATTTTCCTGAATTTTTTTGACCTATCGGGCAACAGTTAAGGGTCCCTGAAGGGTCAACATAGTAACCATGGTAACTAAGGTGAATGGGGTATCAAATTAATCCCCTGGACCAGGGGAATCAGAAAAATATTTTTTGGTTTTTGTGACGTATAGGTCAAGAGTTAAGGGCCCCTGAAGGGTCAAATAATAACTTATTGTATTTTACTAAACGGGACATTATTTTAAAGTTTTCAGTTTTGCAAGAATGTTAAGTAGAGAGGGGTAGGCATATTTTTGAAAATTTCGTACAAATTTAATGAATAATAATTCTTAACACTATGTACAAATCGGATTCACTATTTATAATATTTATTATGTATTGAATCCATTGAAGTTAAAATCTAGGTTGATTCTGGTGGGAAGGTTAATCTCCTCCTAGAAGTTGCACATTCTTCTTCAGGCAAGTCTTCTTCTTCCCCAGCCTGTGAGTATTCAATATCATTGTGTATTTGCATTCGGAATCTATCAACTACTTCGTCAACATCGTCAGGGTCCTCATCTTCGTCGTCAGACACATCATCTGCTGCTGTAATCTGTATATTATGTATAAGTTATGTATTTTTTTACTAATAGTTTACTGTCACTCGAATGGGGTTGGCTGAAGCTACACGTGTTTGGAAGTCATCAAGGAAGTCATCAAAATGTCCATCATTTTTCCAATACTCGTCCTCCAATCTATTTACAATAATAATGTAGAAATTGCGAATTATTCCCATAATAGCGAATCTTGGTTTTACGAACCGGTGCACATGTTTGATGTGTTTCTGCCATTGTTCCTTTGTGTATGTTGTCATAATTCTCTCAGCCTCAGCTTGTGCAAACTCAGCGGTCCCCTGTGTGTTTGCAGCCCTAACTGCGTGCTTGATGTCTTTCCACACGTACTCAATTGGGTTCAAGTCGCTAAAAATAGTTATTACATGAATATTCTTATTACCGTTACCTATGATTACCAGTTCTTACCAGTTATATGGGGGTAATCTGGAAAATACGTAAATACAGTGTTTAAATAAATATTACAAATTATTAGTAAATTACCCATGAATAGAAAATAACTTTACCGGACAACAGTGTTTCCATATTTCAATGCCTCCTTATCCACAATGTAATATTCATTTCCGTTTTTAAGGTCTTGAACCATTTTCCATAATTCAGGTCGTCTCATTTGCTTTACAGGTTTTAGTTTCAGCTTTTCAGGGCCCTCTAAATTATCATTCAGCCAGTCGTATAGCTCTTGTTTTCGGGATGTAGATTTTGGGGCTTCCTTGGTGCTGTGATACGGAGCTGACAAATTTAAATAAATGAAATTCAAATTAAAATGGAATTTACAAATACAAATTATTGGATGATATTACCGTTATCAATAACAATTATGCATGGACCATAATTATCTTTTATCTTTTGATTAAGATCCTTCCACCAAGCCATGTAAGCGACACCGTTAACGTTTGCGTGGTAATCCATCTGGACTTTCTTCTTTGATACTGGATATACCTTCATAGCGCCAGGTACGAATCCATCCTCTCCACCTGTGAAGATAATTATTATTTTGAAATAATTTCCTATTTAATGTGGATAGTTGAACTGCACCTGCATGCATCACAATGATACGTGGTCCTCTAGAAATTTTCGGGTTTTGGAAGGAGTATAAAGCCGCTTCATGAAATGACTTTGGTGAATTAATAACCCAGCCTTTTCCAGTTCTAGCATAACTATCGACCCACGTTTCATCTGAATAAATATAATGCATTAATAATTATATTAAATTAAATTAAAACATTTTTGATATTTAATCAGCCATACCTGTGTAGACAACACATTTTGGGTTCTCGGACTGACGATTTTTAATCATTACGGACAGATATTCATATCGCTTCTGCACGATGTCTGATCTCATGAGGATAACTGCTCGCTTATCAACAGTTTTGAATCTAAATCCTAATTGCTTAATGAGTTTTCTTAACGTCCACTTGGAACATTTGAACGCTGTAAGAGTTTCTCCTCGGGCTATCCGACCATCTTCTTCCTTGACTTCCTCCATCAGTTTTGTGTATACGTTATGCATTGTTGGTGCTTGATTATTAGCATAGAATTGATGAATGATTCGTTTAACGTGCTCAGTTCGGAAGTCGTCAAACTGATCCATCACTGGCGTTGGTCTAATACGTTTCTTACCAGGTGTTTTTATACTATTCGTTTTGTAATTCTCCATTGTCTGATAAACTGTTCTCTCTCCAATTCCTAGAATCTGGCTAGTTTTGGTGACAGAGTTTCCTGTTAGTATTTCACACTGTACCTGGTTACTGTCAAAGAATACTTTGGCGTTGACAATTAACTTTTGAGCTGTCGCCTGTAGTGAAACACCAAGTAGTTGGAATGGGAGTTTAGTATTTGGTTGTTTACAGTCGTTTTTCGCTTTCGGTGTTGCTTTCTCAATTTCAAAGGCTAATTGTTGCATAGGAAAACTCGTAGGACTGCACCTCGAAAGACTAAGGTAAGGTTTGGTTCCATCATTCCGTCTAGGAACATCAGATAAAGGAATTCGCATTTCACCTTCCCCCAATACCTGTTCTTTAGCTCTGAGAAGGGAATAGAAATATCCACACTCAGAATCCGGACAAGGAGGACCAACAATTAGGACATCTTGAATGAACTCGTTTATAAGGTTCATCTTTTCGTCGTTTATGGGGGTTGGGAGATAGCCTACCGTGTCACTGCCGGGTGGAACATTTTGGATTAGTGAAAAAGATTGAACTGCTTGATGAAATTGCCCTTGATTGTGTCCGAAGTGAAGTAAAATTATGCAGTACGTCAATGACTCGGCAGGTAAGATTCCTTCGAGATGGTCACTAGTAATCTGGCTGTCAGAAAACAACATATCTGGTGCAACTTGTTTCGATCCGAGGACAAAGTAGAAATTTTTTATTTTGCGTTGCGTAGTTTCTTTCTCTTGTATGATTGAGAAGATCTTGTTCTGGAAAGATGCGTACATTACTTGGTGGATAGTCATCCCGCCCACAAGGATTATTTCAACGAATCCGTTAAGTGAATTAGTTTTTGGAGGACGAGCGCCTTGGGCAAATACGAACATGTTCAATAAACGAAATCTGGTTATCATCATTCTTGGTTGCAAATTCGTTCAAAATCATCCTACATCCCCCTTTGTAAGGGGCCGTTGGGTAAATGTCTGTTCCCACACATGTATCTTCACCTTCTGTACTCTTGGATGCATACTCTGTATTTGAAGTGTCCATTGGTGATTCACCGCCAGGAGCTGACCCTTCTCCTAACTCTTCACGTTGTCCACAGTGCCCACGTTCATCATCTCCATCACCATCCTCCTGTATTGATCAGAACAAAAACGTACATGAGCTTGTTACTACAATAACAATTTCACGATGTCCCCCACAACATCCGCGGTCGCTGCTATTTATAAATATGTTGCAATATTTCTCACAAGTGCGTCTGCATTGGTGTCCATTTCATCCACATTTGAGCATGGCATGACGAGGGAATTCATGTCAGACTGTTTTTGCTAAAAGTGATAAACTTGTATGAAATGCGTCTGTGCTCTCAGACAATAAATCGATGAATCTGAGCTAGCATTAATAGTGCAAAAATATAATCTTACATCGATATGCGGTGGATTTACATTAGTTTCTGGATCCACCGTGTAGCAGCTCCCTAGCCAAATATTTTGCAGAATACTTATCCACTTTGACTCCTGAGCTTGGCCTTCCCAGATGGCACGAGCAGTTGTTAGTGTTCCTGCTGAAGTTTTATCGTACACCGTTTCATGTGCAAAATGCAAAGTTAAACTGGGATAAAATCCTGCTGGGTAGAAATATAAGAAGGATGTATAGGACCCTCCAATTTGACTTTCGAAATATTTTTTGGCACTCATTGCGGCCGCAAAAAGTGGGAACAGATCTTTTCGATGTAATTGCACAGTAGTTAGAAGTGCCTCGTCTGCCTCTGATGGTAGAACCCCTAGCAAATAATCGACGTCATGTTTGCGGCATGCTGCATCTGTGAATAATATCAACACAAAAATTATAAAATTAATTTTCACAAATTTGACTTGGTTAGTGTATGAGCATAAATTGGGCAACAATTACCAACAGCATTTATTGGGCCACCGAGATCATCCTGCTTCTCAATATCGGTGGCAGGCCCGCAATATCTTAATTAATACCAATAATAAAATTATGTTAATAAAGAATCATTTCATAAAGATTCCAATCGCAACTTTAAAAATAAAAAAACTCATCCAAAATAACCAATTACCTATATCCAGGGAGATTGAAAGGTAATCCGCTTGGCGCCTTTTTAACTTTAGCTTTCTCCAAGGAAAGTATAATACCACGTGGGCGTCGGAGAGATCCAGGATGGAAAAATGCATCTTGACGAAGATGAAAGCAAGATGGCAATTTACCTTCGTTGGTAGGAATAAACGTGTGCTTTCTGGCAAAGAAGGCTGAATGCAGGAGACTTGTGTAGTTGAACCTGATGCATGATATTTGGTTGCACAGAATTAGAACTGTGCATGCAGAAGGAAGAGGAGTAGTGCCTTGAATAGCTTTAGTTACTGCTTGCTTGGTGGTACAGTTCTTCGTTTCAGCCGCTATATTACAATAAGTGTCACTAATTTTTTCCTGAGTTAAGTCGGATAGTTTATTGGATGGAAATGTGTGGTTGGCGTTTGAAATTGTGATGTTATTTAGTAGATAACGGCTGGCATCCACGAAACTTTTAAAATAAAAAGTTACATAGCTTTCACTTCCCCATATCCGTATCTTTTTATTTTCATACTCTACTTCTTCAATTTTGATAGTGTCACTGAAGAACATAACAGTTTCATTAATTTCCATACACATCGTTTGATTACATATCAGAAATTCACTGCAATTGGATGGTAATGTCTCCTTGAACCAGATAACCAATCCACCCAGGTTATCCGTCTCATCACACACAACTTTAACCTGTTTATCTATTTCTATTTTATCGACATTCGCGCAACTTTTACCACAAACACAATGAACTATATATAACACATACAGTGTTCCATAAATTAAGTTATGCAACGTCATCTTCAATTTTAAAAATTAATAATTGAGCGGATACCAGTAAGTACAAACTCCAAAACTTAAATTTCAAAATGTCGACTGGAGAAGCCAGCAAGGATAAGGGGTCTCCCATCACCTCATATATTTATAATGCATCAGTTTTTAGGGGATATTCATCACCCCAACCATTAACCCAATCCTTCCCCAAACAAGATGGTGCATAAAGATATGTATATGAGAAAGGGACCAGTTTATACAAACATAAGTATGCTGCCTGAGACAGGCTATGAAGCCTGGTTACCATGGTCACTATGTTGACCCTTCAGGGACCCTTAACTCTTGACCTATAGGTCAAAAAAATTCAGGAAAATATTTTTATGCTTGCCCTTTGCCAGGGGATTAATTTGATACCCCACTTGCATGGGGTTACCATGGTTACTATTTTGACCCTTCGGGGGCCCTTAACTCTTGACCTGAGGGTCAAAAAAATCCAGAAAAATATTTTTTTGGGTTCCCCTTGTCCAGGGGATTAATTTGATACCCCACTTGCCTTTAGTTGTGAGGGAATGATATTTAACCCTTCAAGGGCTCCTAGTTCACGACTCAAGGGTCATAAAAATTTATAAAAATATTTTTCTGGTTCCCCTGGTCCAGGGGATTAATTTGATACCCCATTTGCATGGGGTTATCAGGGAACGCTATTTGACCCTTCAGGGCCCCTTAATTCATGACCCAGGGGTCATAGAACGCTAAAAATAATTTTTCTATACTATTCCCATGCTAGACTTTTATTTTGGACCAGTTTGGAGGAAAAAATTTTTTTGACCGGTGACGTCGTGAAATTAATGCTACAAAGCGGTGTAATAAGTCTGCAGGATTAGAACTTCATCCACAGTAATGAGCATGTAATTTGGGTTTCTCACGTTATTTGTGGGGTGAGCATTCGATTCTTGGAGAGGTGTCTCAACCTAATCTTGAAGCCAACACTGAAGGTGGCAGAGATGTTTTTAATCAACATTCCAAACGGTCTCACATTGAATCCCACCGACCGAACCATCGCTGTGAACTTTCTCACTGCAATCTTGCAAGCCTCCACCGATTTGGCCCCAGAAACGGTCATCCTGCCAGCCGGGAAAATCATGGCCGTGGCGATTGGATCTTTGAGACGCATGACCAAGGGTGCGAATGACTCGGGATTATAGCTCAAGTCCAGGCATCCATCAGCAATGGCTTTCAGGTCCAAATCTGCTCCCAAGTTCACCGACGCCACCACAGATCTGACAAGCAGTAATATAATAAGAGCAGAATTAAAACACCATCAGTTATCTTTTTTGCTATTCATATGATAATTATTTAATTGCAATAACTTACAAAACGGTTGGTTCCAACCCTTCCGGCGGCTCAATTGGACTCTGCTTCCACGGAGCATTCTTCAACTTGTGCGGCTCGGGAATGATGAAGTTGTACTGCGAATCAAGTTCGTACTTGGGATAAACAGTGCCCTTCCCATTTCCGAGAATGCCGTTGGCTTCAAAGTTGGCAGGACTGACTTCAAAAGCAGGCCGTTGTCGTGGCAGATTGCACGGCACGAAACTTGGTGGATCTCCTTCTCCTCCAGTTCCAATTCGTCGAGCCGCCCGAAGTGGCAATTTCCGAGCTGTCTCAGTCGCCACCAAACTTGTTTTTCTTGCCGACTTTCGTTTGCCCTTGAGGTTTCCTTCAGCCAGTCCATCCTTCTGGCAGTCGTCGAAAAACTGATTTTCTGCTTTGACAGCTTCCAAGCACTCTTTTCGTAATCGCTTCCTCTTGTCTTGACCCCTCAAAATTGGGTAGTTTCCAGAGTCAACGCGGACAAGTTTGTTGGGAGGCCACCCGTCTTCAAAGTCATCCAAGGAGCACGCATCAGGACTTTTGGGCTCATCCTTCACGGCCAGGTTTCTTTGCGTTGCCATAATGGTTAATTATGAGTATGACCTGCAAATAAATACAGGCGTGATTAATTTATCACAGAGAGAGAACTAACCGGATAAAAGGACTACTTGTATATTAAATTCGGCAGCAATCCACCAGCATATCCACCTTCTAATAGTTGCAAATTGCAGCTATTAGAAGGTGGGAGGGGAGACCAATTTTATTGCTCCCACTATCTAGCTAATCTAGCACCTCCCCCAATGTGTCTTGCACTAATAAACTAATTACTAACGGGCATTTACCTCTGGCTGTTGAATTTCACAAAATTTGTTGAGGAAGTGTAGAAATCCGTCCGTCACTCGCTGAGGCTGCTCGGCTAAAGGTGGATCAGATGGATGACGTGGCACTCGACTCGTAGCAGAGTTTGCAATGGGGAAGCGCCAAGGCGCAGAAATCAGATTTTACAGGGGCCACTTGACACTTGGACTCAAAATCAGTCGAACTCACGTTCTTGAGACTCAGTCCGTATGCGTCCGTATCCGTATGCGTCTCAAAATGCGCAACTGCTCTGGGGACCAAGAAGGAAGGGGGGCTAAAACGTCAGCAGAATCATTTTGAAGATTAATTAGCTCTGATTTCTATAGGTTTTGATAAGTACATTAAGCACTTACCTGGCTTTTTTCTCCAATTCACTAAAAAGTCGGAGAGTCAGTCAACGAGCGACAAATGAAATAGTTGTTAGCGAATAGCGAGACATGTATTGATGAGATGACCGTATACCTAACCATCCGAAAATTGTAGGGTAATTAATTACTTCGACCAATTCAGTTATAAAGCAAACCTGCCTTTAAAAACCCATGATTTAATACAAGTATTATGAAAGTATGATTTTTTTGAGCAAATTGGGAGTGAGACGATGAAGCATAGAGATGATGCTTTGGTGGAAAGAACAGATGAGATTCTCATATTCTAAGCTTAAGCTAGTTCATGTGTCGTGATTCACACCGACACAAAGTTGAACAGCAATTCATAGTTAATTTAACTGGATTAACTTAATTATGGTATTTTCTCAGTCTACTTGAACTTCTCCACTACTGACTGGCCTGGTGGAGTCAAGCGTGCATTACACTAATCTCCATCTTTAAATTATTATTTACAATATTACAATTGGGAAATCCCAACAGTTTTACATAAAAACAAAAATTCATTCATGCCTGATCACAATAATTGTGATAATCACATGTATAAAAATAATCTTCTGAGAAATTAACTAATTTTGTTTAACGTTGGTGTAATTGGTGCTGCTTCCAAAATCCAAATTTAGCGTGACTTTGTTAGTTAAAGGGCAAAATGTCAATTGCTCGGAAAAACCTCGTCTCCCTTTTCATCAGACCAAATACCTCATCCGTCAATAGTACTACTTCTCTGGTAATAATACAATATTTTACAAGTTAATTTTTCTAGCAAATTATTACGAACAGAATTAATGCGGAACGATGAGAATAATGTCATCTATGTAATATGCTGCATGTTGATGATGACTGATGCGAAGTTCTATGCTATCTGCAGCTCTCTTTTCATTATCATCGTAAACAATCTGATAGTACGACAGCGACTGCTCTAAAAGGGTCAAATCCAGGAGGGTCGACAGATAAAAAGCATCAAGAATTCAAGGATGGGCCTGATCTCTCAGATTTCATTTCCGGAACTGTTGCAAGTGGCGAAACATGGGAGGGTTATAAAGGTACCAACATGGTACATAAACAAGTATAACCGAGAACTTCTCGGCGAGAAGGTTAGTTCTTTGAAATTGTGAGATAATTTCTCGTGTTTTTTTAGGAAAGTTGAAACGTGAAAAAGGTGAATCAGAACGACTCCGACTGCCTCCTTGGCTCAAGACGGAGATTCCAATGGGAAAGAATTACGCCAAGTTGAAGGAAACTTTACGAGGTCTAAATCTCTCTACAGTTTGCGAAGAGGCACGTTGTCCAAATATTGGTGAATGTTGGGGTGGAGGGCCCGACCAGGTGGCCACTGCTACAATCATGGTAAATATACTTAAACAAACGAAAATAAAATAAAATTCACATCTAAAACTAAAACTAGATCTGTTTTAAACTTCCAGTTGATGGGAGATACTTGTACCCGTGGCTGTAGATTCTGTTCAGTCAAAACATCTCGAGCTCCACCCCCACTTGATCCGAATGAACCGGAACACACTGCCAAAGCAATAGCGGCGTGGGGTCTAGACTATGTCGTTCTAACTTCAGTGGATCGAGACGATTTACCAGACCAAGGATCACATCATATAGCCTCCACTGTGGAACATCTCAAAAAAGAAATCCCAAAACTATTGGTGGAAGTACTGTCGCCAGATTTTCGTGGAAACGTTGACCATGTCGGCAATGTGGTGCGATCTGGACTAGATGTGTTTGCCCATAATATTGAAACTGTGGAGAGACTCACACCATTTGTCAGGGATCCAAGGGCAAAATACAGGTATGTAAGTTTAAGAATGAAATGACACATTAGTCAGCGAGATTTTTGCTTATTTTGGCATGTTATGTTGTCTGTATGTATTTCTCTTTAGACAAACCCTGAGCGTTTTAGAGCATGCCAAGCAAATTGTGCCCAGTCTCGTTACAAAGTCCTCAATCATGCTAGGGCTTGGGGAATCAGATGAAGAAGTACTCCAAACAATGACAGGTATACAGCGGAAGGCTGATAATTAATCCAGTGATTATACACACTAGATTATACACCAATTCGTCAACTTTTGTTTTTGTATTTGTAGATCTCCGCACATCTGGAGTTGATTGCGTCACACTAGGGCAATACATGCAACCTACGAAGCGTCATCTAAAAGTTGTAGAATATGTGACGCCAGAAAAGTTTAAGCATTGGGAAGATGTCGGATCTCAGTTGGGATTTCTCTACACCGCCAGTGGACCACTTGTCCGTAGTTCTTACAAAGCTGGTGAATTTTTTATCAGCAATATCATTGAAGCGAGAAAAAACTCTACCAATGAGTCATCTACCTGAAGTCAAATATAGTCATGAAAGATATTACGCAATTTTACGAAATAAATATATATTTTAAATTTGTACAAAAATATGTGCACTCAAAAATCAACAAGCACATGTTGATTGTCGTATTTATATCGCTACTTCCGGTCCATGTTTTGATCCCATCATTCTTCTGAAAAACTTTTTTGTTGCAAATCATCATGTTTTCAATCAGCCATTAGACCATTTTCACGATAAATATGAGACACTCTAAATATTTAAAGTATGGAAACCCCATCGTGTAACTTGGTACATGTGTGTGAACGTGAGTTACTGGGCGTATGAATCCATTTCCAGAACCGATCCTATTTTTTAATTGCGTAATTAACACTTGTCCATTATAGATAATTTTCACCTCTAAACAAATATTTGATTTCTTAAATAAAGTGATGGCCTTCCTTGCTTTGCTTCAATATGGACACACAAACCTCATGCACACCACTTCTGCGAACACTCATATGCATCGTAAAAATGTTAATGCTTCCCTGAAGTATTTTGTCAATCTTGTTATTTGTGAATGGATGAATAAGCAGGCAGGTCGTGGAATGGTTTGACTAAACCAGAAGATTCGCTCGCACAATCTTGTCTAGCAAAAAAGATTCTCTCGTCTCATCCCGTGGTGATAATATTTGTCAACATGATTCATTCCTGGAATGGATAAAGAAGAACGTGAATGAAGAGATGTACTAGCCATACGAGCGGACATGCGATAGGTCGGGTGACAAACATTATTAACAAACCATGCACAGTTTTTAAGTAAACAACAAATATGTATATGCACAATGAACAACATGAGAGATTTTCAGGTATAAAATGGGGTCGACGTGGATTGAGAAGTCATTCTGTGAAACATCATCAACCAAGCAAGCCAGACAGGAAATTCATATTTTTTAAAAAAAAAGCGTCTCCATTGAGAAAGCATAACGGTCAATCATCATGAAAACGATAACCATATTTCTAGCAGCCTGCGTCGTGTTAGCAGCCGTCGTGACTGAGAATACTGCGAGTCCAGTGGCACAGTCATCTGGAGGTAAGATGAGATTCATTTTAAAAGAGGTTCTAATTTTTCTACATGACGGGAAATGATAGTAATTTTTCAATGATAAGGCGCTGCACCTGGAAATGGGAACCAAAAACCAGGGTCTTGTTATCGACCTGGTTCGGGACGGAAGCGCCGATCCGTTGATGAGGACGACGACTTTCAACAGGATCATCTCATCGAGAAGCGTCAGGTGGGGTCCACTGGGGGGTCTCAGGGAGGAAACCCATGGAAGCCACCAGCACCCACGCCAAGACCAACACGACCCACTCAACGACCAAGACCTCAATGTTACAATGATTACGATTGCACGGGTATTACTAACATATTTCATAACTATGAAAAGCCTGAACTGCTTGCCAACCTGACGGATGATAATTTAACAACTCTAAATTTTCTTTCTGGATTTTACAGCCAACAAAAAATGCTGCACTGGAGTTTGTCAGACGCCCGCATTCGTCGGTTAAAATTTGATAGTCTTACAATTTCTATGCGTTTATATTTAAATTATCAACAATTCCCTAATTTTTGCCAGATTGATTAAGCTTTAATAAATAATACCACTCAATTTTACACAAATAGATGAACTTTATTAATACTAATAAACCCATCTTTAGGAGCAAAGTAAAATACCTTCATAGTCGACCTAGCTTATCATAACTAGTACCTTTGTAATAAATAGAGCAGTAAATATCCTAATTTTGTTATAATTAGCGGCGTATGTACTACGATATCATGAAAATGATATAGTACTAGGTTTGAGTCGTACAAAACAAGAGATGGGGGAATCAGTTGGTTATAGCAAACCACACAGTTTAGCAAAAAACTATGTTAGTCAACCTCCTCAACAACTAGTATACATCGGCTATAAAATAGTAGAAAAAAATAACACAGATATACTATTTTTTAGAACCTATAGAAAGAAAAGGAGGTACGCAGTTGAAAGCAGGTTATCAATAAGAGTACAATACAACATTACATAGTGTTACATTTACATAACATCACAAAGTGTATATTAGTATATTCTTAATTATCTTCCATTTCTTCTACCTCTCCCCCTGCCGCAGTTGCTAATGTTTCCGTGATCGTCGTGGAACCTGTACGGGAAAAAATAATTGCGTTGATACACACGTAGCCTAGTCTAATTGGAATTGATTCGTATCGCCGACGTACCTGTCATAAACTGAGGAATTTGCCCACTTTTCAGCACTTGATTTAATCTTTCAATTTCTTCTAGAGATGTCGCATTTCTGATTGCTTCTTTAATTTTCTCGTTAACTTCACTCGTATTTTCAGCCAGGAGTTGTCCCCTTCGGACTGCTTTGTGCGAAGATTTCAATGCAATTCCATTAGACACGGAGGTTGCTTCTTCGTCATCGTCTTCAACAAATTCTTCGTCTGTGGAACGATTTGTAGCGATTTCTTTTCTGATTTCCTTTCCACGCTTAGATTTAAAGAAGGCTTTTGCTTCGTCTCGTTCCTAATAGTTAAAGGATTATTATTTTAAACATAATTCTGTTTAAATGAAATGATTGAATGGATTGATTGAAGGATATTAATTAGCCATAATGATACCTTCATTGTAATTTTTTTGAAGTCCAAAACTTTGAGTTGTGGAAGTCTAAAGATTACATATTGTCGGAAAAACTCCTTGGTCGAGACGGGACTGAAGAGAAGTGTTAAATGAGTTAAATGCTGCAATTTTGATAAGTTGTCAATCTCTCCTAAATCCTGTAGCATATTATTAGTCAAAACGAGCGACTCCAGGGACGGTATGACTTCATGCAATGTGGGACTTATGCGACTGAAATTATCAATACAATTTGTATTAGGGTTGATGACATTTTTTCATTATCTAACTCTTTTAAGTGTTGGCTAAAATACTTACACGACGCGATTGTTATTCAAGATAATGTTTTTGAGTCGGGGAAGCAGGGGAAAGTTGTCCAATTTCCGAATGTCATTATCTGAGAAGTCGATTGTGTCGAATTGGTTCTGGAAACGTAAGCAGGTTAGAGATGGGCATTTCTTGAAAAAGTCTGCTATCATTTTAGTCAATGATAAGATTCACTTACCAAGGTGGCTCCAAGATTCTCAATCATAGGGATCTTCAATCCTGCAAGAACGCATATATAAATAATACAGATCTCAAAATTATTAAATAATTAATTTATAACAATAGTCTTCAATCTTTGAAAACTTGAGAAAGTAAACGAATTGTAATGTATCAGAAAAACAACCTCGTAAATTAAGTTCCCGATCTCGAATAGGATTAATCCTTTGAATGCAATTGTTGATAAGGTCTGGAGTTAGTTTCACCATTTTTAATACGTTATCACGCTACTTTTTCAATCTTTAATTGGTTTATTGATTTTGTGTTTCCTTTTTTTAAAGTAATGCGTTTTACACTTTACACAAATACTCAAAGCGAAGTGCCGCTTGTTAATGTTTTGCATTTCCCGGTCAGTTTGATGCAGCAGTAGTTAGTCTCCGTTTAAATCTTGTGAAAAGACGCCATGTACATTGTGCAGTACATAGAACTTAGGAATCCTAAGGTAGAAGTACAAATACCTTATGTACGCGTATTTGTACTTCACGAGGTGGGCCAGAGGTCGGACGGGTCAATGGGAAAGGGTGTCAGCGGAAGAGAATTTAAAACATTAGTCCCAAGGCCAGGTCACTATGTATTCTTGAACGCCAAGTGCGCCATGCCATGCGTACGTGGTAGTATTTTTTCGATGCCTACTAAATGCGGTATTTTTACAGAGATGTTTATATACCTATTAGATCTTTAAAAATCTGCCATTTCGAAATTTGCATTAAAATCCCAGCGAAGGGAAATAAGGTACTTTTTCAAGGGTTCGGGATTTTTGCTGCTCTATGCCATTGGTTGATGCTTTTTTTCTATTTCCACGGACGGTGCAGATGAAATCATGTAATGAATTGGAATTAAGTTCACCATTGTGATTGTCATGTCTGGACTATTAAGCTCCCATTGTGTTCCCCTTTAAATGACTCTTTGTCCATTTCATCCAACAACTCGATCTTCTCTTCATCATCTCCTCCTCGTCCTAATTTCGTCCCATTCACAGCCAACAATCTCATCAGCTCAGCAGCAGCAGTAAAGAGAGAAGAATATAATCAGTAACGTATACCATGAGCCCTTCCCCCACCTGCACAAAACCAATCATTGCCAACTATGGATTCTCACACTTTTGCTAAAAACCTTGTTGGGAGGGTGAAAAAGTCAGCAGAATTAACCATTTCCAGATCACGACTCTAATTAAGGAAGATTGGTTTTTATACAAATGAGCAATTAAACGGCGATTGTTTTCTTAAAGTGATTGAATATTACGTTAATTTGCTTTTCGGGTTCCTTGAATTTTATACATTTACGTACAGAGGGCTGGAATCCTATGCATTCATAAAGCATACGTTTGTAGGTACTCTAAGTTTAGTACAGCGTACAATGATGTGCGTACACATAGATATGCACTACCCAAGTGGATGCACATATGTATGCAAATTGTGATTACATATATTGTTCATCGTTTTTTTGGGGCCATTGCAGAAGAAAAGGGTGAGAATGAATGTCTCATTTGGGGTATTTGTAGGGTCATTCGTTTCGTAGCATGGAGGAGACCAGAGAGGAAAAGCAGTGGGCATTTTTAGGAAGATGACATGAATAAGGAACACTGGGCCCCTTAATGAGGCAGAGATGATTTAAATTATTTCAGAGTACGAGTTGGTTCAGGTTTATTAGTTATATAATTGCTACTGATTTGATACTGTGGCCTAATCAACCACCCCTCTTTCGTACCCTCTCCTTGCCGAGGTAGGGTTGGAGCTGGAAGTGCAGATTTGGCGGAATGCGGGTGTTCAGTGGTCACACCCCTCGCGACATTCTCGCACTCGTGTTGCTTTTTAATCAGAGTCACTTTTATCACCTGCAAGCATTTCCTTCAAAAGTGTCACTCAAAAATAGTTTTCTCCTTGATGAATAGTTCCACAAATTTAATCTATTTGCAAACCGTGCTTGGAGAGAAATCATTACTTTAGACTTGCATTACGATGAATCATCATTTCTCAAATAAGTAAATATTAAGCAAGAAGCAGCTTAAGGGAAACAGTTTGCAGTAATGAAAGCAATGCTTATGTGGTGTGTGTATTGTTGTGTGCATTAAATCCCTAGCGGCTCAATGAGTCCTCCATAAAATCCAGCATTTTCTCGACATATTTATTTACTCCATTACATTAAATATTGCGACATCAATTCCCGATTTCGCTCCTCAGCATATCAAATTCATGGGCTCGGTTAAGCAGCCTGAGAACGGAAACATCCGGCAATTGAAACCAATTCATCTTTTAATGCTTAATCTTTGCTCAATGTTTTGTCCGGGAGATGAAACCGAATTGAATTGATGATGACAACGAAGGACGACGAAAACTTGCTTCTTTCTCCTAATAGGATTAGTTCACAAGCATGAACTCATGACGTTTTTATTATGCAAAGACTACTGCCAGCCAGTTCTCTGGAGGGGAAATTGAGACATGCGTTCTCTTTAAATATATGCACAAATCGGTAGAAATTCGTTATGAAAATGCCAACTCTGCAATTATTTCGGTTTAGAGTCCATTTTACGACATCTACAGATCCGTCGCGTTGGGTAGTGAGTGACCACAGAAGAATAATAATGACACTACTTTGGCTACCGTTGCAATTTACTCAGCTCAGAGAACATACTCATCTCGGATTACACGACATGACGACATGATGACACTTACTTTCATCCGAAATTACAAATATACGCAACCCATTGTTCTTGACTCGCCCATTTGAAACTTGACCGGATTGCGAGCAGTTGACTGGACACCTCTTCTCATCTTCTCATTAAGCTTTGACTCAAGTTCACATGTATCTAGGAGCAAAGGAGCATGAACAAGGCACAGTCCTCGTTAAAGTTTAATTAAACAAGCAAAACTAGCAAAACTCAGGGAAAGTAATACTTTCAAAGTATGTACAATCAGTTGTCGTACATATTTAGCTTTTGGAAGTGCTTGGTAATAACATTCGATGAAACTTAATACTGTCAGAGTCCAAATAACGAGTAGAATGTAATGCAAGAGGAAAAGCGACGCACGGGGGGTTCTTCTGCTGGGTTGAGATTTTTATTTTTTTTTTTACTTTTCGGGCTGCCCCGTCACCATTGTTGCTTTGTTGATGTGAGCAAAGAAGGTGTAAGTTGGAAGTTGAAGAAATTATTGTATTATTACCATTGTTAGTTTATCCCTGTGTACTCGGCAGAGCTGCATGGAAATGCTTATTGCTTTGGGATAAAATAAAATGTCAGGGTCGCTCAAACAAGAAGGGCCCTTGCGTTCATCCCTCACTCGCACTCGTCCTCGTCCTTATACTCCACCAAGCAACCTGATATAATGGTCAGAGGCTCAGCTCAAGTGGTAATAAGGGAGGAAAAGAAACAAACAATGCACCCACCACTAGCGACTTATTTAAAGTCAGTTAAATACAATCCTCGTTCACTTTTAGACGAGCAGGTAGACGACGCTAAAGAATAATAACGCGGCTTTGAAGAAGAATTAGGGACGTTGTGGGCTTGGTCTGCTCATGAACATGACCAAGGGAGAGTCAGCCCAGGGAGGACGACGAGGAAGGTACATATATATTTATACGTTGTATGTATCTAAATAAAAGTGGTTGTTGTTGTTGGATTGGATTTTATGACATCCCAGCCGATGGACGGATGGGATGGTGACCAGGAGAGACATCCTGGTGCTTTTTAAACCAAAATCAAGTGAAACCGACAGACAACCGAGAACAAATGAACAAATCCCTTGACATCCACCAAACCGAGGCAGGAGGAGAATATCAAGAAGAGCGAGAGAATGTCTCCTTCCAAATAGTTCTGCCATATTACTTGCGTTGGTCGTCTAATGGTCTTAAGACGCAGAGTCCTCATTGTCTCTGGACCCTGGCTTTCCACTTGAAAGGAATTTATTATTTTAGAGATGTTGACGGATGACACCAAGCCTTCGTGGGTACGTACGTGGATATGTGCATACCAATCCAGCCTCAGTTAATAGATACAACGACGAAGCTCTACATTTCAGCAATTTTGGCTCCTCTTTGAATTGGTACAACTCTATTTGCGAGAATTTTGCAATGATCGTTGCAGAAATTTGGTTGACCACCTGAGCCAGAAAATCTGGAAGGTAACCCCAAAGGATAAGATCGAGCCGTGCTAAATGAGTGGGATAAGAAGACGGGAAATGTTGGTTACGTGCGCGTTCCCCTCGTTGGCACTGGGAGAGTCGTTGTTGTGGTGGCCCATACTGCACCGTGTTGGCGAGAGAGAGGGGAACAGGGCGACTCAAAGCTTGTTCCCACACCAATGTTTCGCTCAGTTCTCTCCCAGCGCTCCATCGGTCAGGTCACGTCTCGCTCTGCTCGGCTGCAAAGACACGCTGCTCACTCACTCACCCCGTTTCCACTCCGAAAATCCTCAAATTGTGACCATTGTGTCCTCGGTCCTTGGTTCCCGATCTGAAAAAGGGTCCGGAAGGCATCTACAAAAAGTTATCTCTCATTTGATACTTTCAACTTGAAAGGTTTTGTTGTGATTTGTAAAATCGCGAAAGTTTCAAGGTGGTTCGATTGGGAAGTTGGACACTTTATCGGTAAGGTTCTATAAATTGGTTAAATACTTACTAAACATTGTGAGGCAGTTATTAGTTTCCCATATTTTAACCTAACTTAATTTGTGGGAAATTTCGGAAAGGTCACGAGCATAGAAATAACAAAACCTACCCCACACCTGGCCCACTCATCTCATTTGAAAAGGAAATTATGTAATGAAAGTGGAGAAAGAAAGAAAGTAATTAAAATGGAGGCTAATTTTCGCCTTTGCAACTCACGATGAGTTACAAAAGGCGATTACAGCACTTTCTGCAAATTTAGAACGCGACGAGAGAAAATTGAGAAAGTCTGGATATGTATATGTACATACTTCACCCTTCTCCTATTTCCATTCCACTAATTACTTTTCGCATTCAGTTTGCCATTCTGCCCAAGCTAAAAGTGATACTGTGCATATGACTGCATCCATATGCAGTTGTTGACGAGGTTGAAATTGAATTCTGTAGCGACGGTAGCGACGAAGACGTAGGGACACGTCTTCTTGACGAGATTATAATATTTTGAGCTGTTGTGAGCAGATTTCTGATTCAGTCCCCCATCTTCCGTAGGCGTGGTGTAAATAGAGAAAAGTCATTTTCGAAATGTCCGCTAATTAAATTTGACTTGATTAATACACAGCTTGCTTTTATTTCAAATGAGTTGGTTTTATGAAGTGGGAGCAGGCGAGAGAAGCCATTAAAAACGAGAAAAAGTATGAAGGGGAGTGAAAATGAATTTGCAAGAGGAACTCGACTTTGCAAAGTATGTTATACTATTTAGCAGCAGGGCGATTGGCGAAAGTGAATAGTAAGGAAAACATGCATACATACAGCTCCACGGCCGGGGAGAAAGGAGAGAGCTTTGATGTTGTTGAAAGTAAAAGGCAACTTTTAGTCGAGTTGTTCTGCACAATTCTGAATGTGACACGAGCAGGCGGATGGAAGAGAAGGCTCGCAATTTTAATTAATGATTAATCGTTAATTTAATTTAATTGGAGGAGTGTGGACTGGATGTAAGTGTAATGGCGAGGAGGACGCGGCTGCTGCTACTGCTGGAGAAAAGCATCTCTTTCTCTCATTCCAACAGCAGCAGGCTCGTTTCTTCCACTGGGAGAAAGTGCAACTGACAGGTTCGAGTTGGTTTTGGGTGTCTGCTTGTTCCCATCTACTTTTACTCACTTTCTTCGACCCCACTTTCTCCAAATACCAGATAAACTCTGTATTTATTTAACATAATAATGTACAGCTCTGATTGGAGAGTATCAATGGAACACATTTATACCATTGTGCATAATGTAAAGAAAATACTTGGATGGATTTCTCCATGTTCAGCTAATCCAGAGTCACAACCTGCGTGAAGGATCCATTTCATTACACTTCTTGTTCACTCCTAATTAAATGAGGGCTTTGTTTTCCATCCCGTCTCCCTCTTTCCAATTAGATATTTGAATATTATGTACGAAATGCGTTATATATGGAGCAGCAGCAAAGTCATAACGCGTTCGCATATGTAACCTCTATCTATTAACCGGAGCTCAGAAAGTGGGAGAAAATGTTGGTTAGGTAGGCATAAAAGTGGCAGATGCTTCATTTGAGCCCTTATTGTTCACTTTATTCTTTCCTCGTCGCCATCCAGTGTTTGATATTGTCTTTTGAATGCAATCCACCCAATTAAATTAGACCACAATTCTTCCCCTAATAAATGATGAATTAAAGAGGGACTGTTCTAATAGTTTGGAAAACTGCTCATGTTGAGGAGGACGATGGAGATAATATGTGCATGATAAATAATCGGATAACATAACTCGACTGCCTCCCTCCCTCCCAGGGTGCTTGCTAACATGGACCCGCCAGTATACATACATGGACTCCTCAATAATGCAGCCTTACATGCCATACCACCAAATAAATCTACCAATCCCTGGTAATATTTCTACAAAAGTATGAAGGCTATAGCGCGTTTGCATATGCTCTTCATCTCGTCGTATGTACATACATATTGTTGTGCAGACTGAGCCAGGGGACGAGGGGACCCGCCGTTGGTTGGTTGGGTTCATGGTGGAGTAAAAGTTGGGAGAATCCTGCTCGGAATACGAATTAAATTAATATTATTTTTGCTAATTAGACGCTCTCATTGTGTTTGACAGGAGAAGAGAAGAACAGAAAGAAGAAGCTTAATTTAATTTAATTGGAGTCAACAAACAGCAGAAAAAGACGAGAAGAGTTGGTGATCGTGTCCCCCATCTCGACTTGTTCTCAAACTGACGGTTTTCTTCTTGGCACATGCAATTAAGCAACTCGTGGGTACAGGCATTCATACATCTGACATTTGTGTGGTTTTGATGATACAAATACGAATAGAAGAAGAAGGTCACATCGAGTTTTGGAGAGTAATTATAGGCAGTTTTATATGACCTAACTCAACGACCACCATAAAACCTGCCTCCCTACAGCCAAGTACTTGATACCACGACAATCTATCTTTGATCACATCATCAACTCTCAACATTGTTGTTGTCATTAAATAAGGAACATTATATAAAAAACAGCAAGCCGGTTTTCTCTCCGTCTGTTCCCCTTCTGCAGCACACAACCTTCATCATTAAGAAACTCCTTACCTGTGCAAATTGGGAGAACTAACAAGACTTCAAGAGTTGTAAAAAATTGCGATTAATTGAGTGCGGAAAAGACAACAATTACTGGCCAGAGCTGCTACTTGTCTATCAAACTAGAACGAGACTACCTGGTGTTTGTGTCTGGACCAAGATTTAAAAAATATGTACAGTTGGTGATCATAAATCATTGCATTCTCTCTCACACACAGTGTGAACAGTGAACTTGTGAACTCACTTTTGGGATTATTATATTTTTCTTGTGATTATCAGACTTAAGTAATTTCATGATGGAGTACAACAACGGATACCCACAACCCAGGATGCAAGTGCCACATCAAAATTATCAGGTGAGGCTGAGACACAATTTTTCACGTTTTGGCACCTTTATCCATTTCTTAAGGTTTGGAATTTGGTAACGCCTACGCCCCCCAAACAGCGAAACAACTCACAATCTCCTTGAGAATTTTGAAATTTATCGTCGCATGTACATACATTTCGGTCTTCTTTTGCATATTATCACCCAACTTGCATACTTATGTGTACGTACGAGTACATTTTATCCCAGGATTTTTCCTTGGTCTGCTATCGGAGGGAACATGGTAAAAAGTTTAGTTTGGGTCTCCCACTCTATGCATACTTAGAATTAGAATGACTCCAAGTCTTGATTGGTTTGATAGTTGGTAGAAGTTGGTTGGTGGTGAGTGAGACTTTTTACGGGAGAGAGGACGGTGAAGGGAATAAAAGGGGGAGCGAGCTCGGAGGGAACATGTTTTTAATGTTTTAATGACCGTCATTAGCCAAAGTTGTAATGACTTCCCGTTAACTGACTAACGATCTTTTTGTATTATTTCCATTCCTCTTCTTGCCTCGCTGCTCCGTCAGTGCACACAGAGCCCGAGAGTTGCAACTTACTCTCTCATTCTTACGTGCCACTACTTCCCAGCAAGTAGCCCAGCCACCACAAAACTCTAATTGTTGAGCACTTTTATAATGCCAGTCAGTCAGCAGCGTTCCTTTCATTGCTCTTTCATCGGCCTTTGTTCCTGATTTGGGATACGCAATCTAAAATCATCAAGCATCGGAATCGATACCTGTGCAAGCAACCCCCTCCTCCTCCCACCCTGCTCAGCCTTGATTCTCGTCTCTGTTATACTGCGAGTGGGGGGAAGAAGGCGAGAGTCGTCACTAGCTTGTAAAAATTTGCCTGTGTAATAATAAAAGAAACTCCTCAAGAACCATGGCTTGACTACTTGCGTAGTACCTCTCCACCCACCCAGAGTCAAATTGGGGTAATAACGTAATAATAATGATTACGAGAACATTTCCTTAAAGTTGGAATCATGATAAGATAACGTTATTATGTTTCTCTCAGACTGGTCGACTGGGTGGCATTTCTGCTTCATATACGTTCTACAAGCATGCATTCTGAACGACAACATTTTAGAAGAGCCATAACACATTGCAATAATTATGTAGTGCTTTACAACTAGAACAAGAATACGCATGTTCTGAAAATGTGGAAAGTCGTAATTTGTCTTGCGAAAGTGGGGAGACAAGTTGGCGTAGCTGGTTGTAAAGTAAGTGTTTTATGTGGGGCTCGATGTGTTGGTGGGTGATAAGGGTGATGATGAAGAGATGGAGGAGATGATAACGTTTAAAAGCGGAGTGGGACGGTGAAGGGCTCCCTCTGATTATTCATTTCCCCGACCCACCCACACAGAACCCGGGACCAGGCAGTCTCGAGGAGAGGGAAAGTCGTCTCCAGGGAACAACTTTCCCTCTCCTTTCCCCGCTCCGTGGAGGAACAAATTAACGGACTCCTTCATATGGACGACTTGTTGTTTTTACGCCATTCAGACTCGCTTATTCTTACCTTTTTTAAAGTCACATGGAATCAGAAAGTTTATACTCCATCAGCCTCTCTCCATTTCCACGGTGTACTCAAGGTTGACTTTGACTTTCATCTCCACCATTCAAGCTCTTCGCCATCATCGATTAATTTAATGGAGTTATGGTGAGGTTGGTTATATACACTGGCACGCGGCGTTCTATTCCATTCAGCATTTACAAACTTTTCTGACACGTCCGATAATTAGAAATGGTTCATTACCTGCTCAGTTTTCGCTCAAAGGGGGTACCACCGTCCCAGTCAACAATTATATATTGTATGCATGTATGTACATGTGGATGGCCATTTCCTACTCCTGCTGTCACTGATGGAAAGGGACGTAAATTATCAAAATTTCCAAAGTCTCGCTCCACATTTTAATGAGACAAAAAAAGTAATAAAGTCTTTCTCAATCAATGCGAGTAAACTTTTGTGTGTGGAACGTAACGACTTGTTCTTCTTCTCGGTCCATGTTGTTAGTATGCACGCGTCGTACTCATTTCGAGACAAAACAGAACAGAGGACTTTTCCCTTTACAAAGGCGACGTAAATATAATATCATTAAAGTTTAAGTTCGGGTACACTCTGTGCATCCTAGTGAGCGAGTTGACTTTTTCTCCTCGCCACTTACCAGTAATGTAAATGATTTTTGTCACTAAAACTTCTAATTTGCAGCTAATACAAAATGGATTGATTTCGTTTTGGTGGCAATAAATTCCCAAGTTTGTGATTTACAATTGCTATGTTGCATAAATTCCATAATAAATCTCGGTGAAAAGTATTGGACTGAAACATGATATGAGTCCATGTTTCAGTTCAATACTTTTCTCTGAGATTTATTATGGAATTTATGCAACATGGCAATGTTAAAGCACAAACTTGGGAATTTATTGCCACCAAAACGAAATCAATCCATTTTGTATTAGCTGCAAATTAGGAGTTTTAGTCGAAATTTTTCTCCTTTTCTGGTTCGCGATGCCCCGTTTGGAGAGTGGGAACGGTCACTCTCAAAACCCAAAGCAACTTTTTGCATGCAACTGCCTGCATTGTTTACATGAAAATCAGCTGCTCTCTTCGCCCCGCCCTCCCTCATTAAAAAAAGTCTCTCAGCACACAAGGAGACGCAACCGTCGTCTCTGTCTTTTAGTTATGAGACTTTTTCAACGTATATGCACTCTTAATTATACTGTGCTAATTGGATTGATACTGCCAGAACATGCATGCTTTAGTTGAATACGACCATGCGACTTATACGTATTTATATGTGTAGAGTCTACGGCTCAAAGTGTTTACAGAGAGGGAATAATTCAGTGCGAAATTAATTAAGAGCGACAAAATGAAGAGGTTTAGTTATTCCGTTCGATTACAAAATGCTGGACACGTTCAGTCCGCACAGTTATTTCAAATATCGAATTATTCTCACAATCAGATTGGCGTACATATAAATTGAGCGTCCTCTGTATTCAGCAGGCAGTGCTGTTCATATTTACATACCCCAAGAAATTGTGGTGGTGTGGCTTTAATCATATTTTGCGTTGTTGTTGTTATTCTCGTTTCTTGGTTCTTGGTAAATTACCCTCGGTCCTATCTCCATACCGTGTAGTACGACTCCTACAAGATAGATTAGCTAACTCAATTAATTGAGTCGGTCTTAATTAGAATGCAATCTCCTCCTCCTTCCTCGCACATAGCGGTGCGGATTGGATGGTGAATCCTATAAACAGTAAACATTTGATGGGAACCGGAAATTATTTTGTAATTCTTAATTACGCAACCAATACACCGACCGACCGACCGACCGACACGACTATATGATCATCATGATGAGAGTGACGGAGAACCCATGTAGCAGCCCTCATGTTGTTCCGCCGAGTGTTTCACCAGGATAAAATTGATGGTCTTTAATCAAATTTTCACCATCAAAGTGCCATTTTCTTGATAACCGTCACGTTCCCGCCCAACACGTAGGAATGGATATGAAATTGGAGCTGAGGTCTGCAATCCGGAAATTCTTTAACCAGTAGACAAACAAGCATACACAGGGTTTATCACTATTAAAAGTGCGGGCAAAGAAATTAATGACCTCCAGGGCATTAATTGTATTGGAATTATGCTGTGCAGGAGAGGTTCAGTTGAGGAGAGGAGGAAATGAGGGCATCCATTTTTTACTGAGACTTTCGGACTTGTGATGAATAGCTGAAGGGACGACGCTCATTTTGCATAGACTCCTCTGGAGAGAGTGTCCACAAGGATTCTTTCGCTCAGTTTTTGGAATGTTGTTACGTTGGAAAGTAATTAAATCGCGGTGTGGTGAATGAATGCATTGCAACTTAATTAGTTGCTTTATTTATAGAAAGTGGGATTGTTCCGGCAATATTGGAATGAATGATGCAAGTTGTACATACTTTTAGAGGGCTCGTGAATGTTTTTGGTTATTAGTTGAGCTACGTATTTACGTATGGCGTATATAGCGTTCAGTCAGTTTGTGTACATCTTGGTTAGCGGTGCTGCAGAGCTGAGGGAGAGTTGTTTAATACTTTTGCTTGGTGGATGCGAGGAAATGAGTTGAGGGAAAGAAGAAGAAGATGCTCCTTTATACTTTGTAGGATTGGTTGGAGAATAAGTTAATTAAGAAACTTAATTTAGATGTTATTACGTACGGTCCGACTCCGACGCATGCATGGCATGTACATCCATATAGTGAGTGAGTATATGTATGTGTGCGTGGTGGTGGGTGCTTGGGTGAGTACAGTGGAATTTTGTGAGATTAAGAGAACAAGAAATGAGTTGCATTAAATTGCAAAGTAAACCTTTTCCTGTGTTCTGGAGAAGAAGAAGAGCTCCGTCAGCAGAGCACAATAAGAAGTGAACTGAACTGAACTCACTCACATCCAGTCCAAATTACGGTATTAGTTGTGGTCTCACAGAACGACCATCTCTTTAACTGTTTGTTCCCAAATTAAACACTTATTCGGAATGGAATCAACTCCTCGGCTACAAATTAAATGTATAGTGGGGAGAAACGATGCATGACCCATTATGCGCCCAGTCGCCCATCCAGTCCAGTTAAACAAGCAGTTACTTTGCTGGGTGACCCTCTCCTTCCATTCAGGAGAAAGCAATCTCACACACACACACGTCAAGCATACGAGGGAAAATTTCAGCTTTTATTCTCCTTCCGTCCGTCGTCACTCGTAAATAGAAGGCCAGTCCACGAGACAAAGTTAGCATAAATACATTTCGTATCATCGTTAGTTAATTGTGGCATGTGTGGTGGGATGGGAAAGCAGGGTTTTTAACCGAGAGATAGGAACGAGGAGGAGAGATGCACCTAATAACTGACTTCATCTCGTTAGACAGCAAACGGACCATTGAACGCTTATTTTATTGTTATGATTATTATTAGCGAATGCTGCTGTCCTCCTTGCAACTTGGTGTAACTGTGTATGGAGTGGGAAA